GAAATACACCCACAGTTATTAAAATAGCTTACTGGTGTACTAGCAAAACCATTAACAGATTTATTTAACCAATCATTGTTAACAGGAGTAGTCCCAGAAGATTGGAAGTTAGCGAATGTTGTGCCTGTTCACAAGGAAAAGGTCGTAGGGAGGAGTCATGCAACTATAGGCCAGTAAGCCTTACTTCAGTAATGGGGAAAGTGATGGAAACCATGTTAAAGGATAGGATTGTTGAACATCTAAAAACACATGGATTTCAAGATCTGAGACAACATGGGTTTACTTCAGCCAAACTAATCTTATTGATTTTTTTGATTGGGTAACTAAAATAATAGATCAGGGTGGTGCAGTAGACATTGTTTACCTAGATTTCTGTAAGGCTTTTGACACTGTCCAACATAGAAGGCTTATCAATAAACTGCAATCTTTAAGTTTGGATTCCAATATTGTTGAATGGGTAAGGCAGTGGCTGAGTGACAGGCAACGGAGGTTTGTAGTCAGTGGAGTATATTCGAAGCATGGGCTTGTCACCAGTGGGGTACCTTAGGGATCTGTACTTGGACCTATTCTCTTTAATATTGTTTATTAGTTATATTGTAGAAAGTCTTGAGGGTAAGGCATGTCTTTTTGCTGATTATACGAAGATATGTAACAGGGTTGTTCCAGGAGGGGAAAACCAAATGGCAAATGATTTAGGTAAACTAGAAAAATGGTCAGAGTTGTGGCAGCTGACATTTAATGTGGATAAGTGCAAGATAATGCATCTTGGATGTAAAAACCCAAGGGCAGACTACAGAATAATTGATAGTCTTAACCTCATCATCCAAGGAAAGGGATTTAGGGGTGATTATTTCTGATGACTTAAAGGTAGGCAGAAAATGCTAGCAGAATGCTTGGTTGTATAGGGAGAGGTATTGGCAGGAGAAAAAGGGAAGTGCTCATGCCATTGTACAGAACACTGGTGAGACCTCACTTGGAGTATTGTACGCAGTACTGGAGACCATATCTTCAGAAAGATATTGATACTTTAGAGAGAGTTTAGAGAAGGGTTACTAAACTGGTTCATGGATTGCAGGATAAAACTTAGCAGTAAAGGTAAAAAGAACTTAACATGTAAAGAAGAAACTACCACAACAAGAGGACATAGTCTTAAAGGACCACTATAGGCACCCAGACCACTTCAGCTCAATGAAGTGGTCTGGGTGCCTGGTCCAGCTAGGGTTAACCCCCTTTTTTTTTTTTTTTTATATAAACATAGCAGTTTAATAAAAACTGCTATGTTTATAATAGGGTTAATCCAGCCTCTAGTGGCTGTCTCATTGACAGCCACTAGAGGCGCTTGCGTGCTTCTCACTGTGATTTTTCACAGTGAGAAGACGCCAGCGTCCATAGGAAAGCATTGTGAATGCTTTCCTATGGACTGGCTGAATGCGTGCGCGGCTCTTGCCGCGCATGCGCATTCAGCCGAAGAGGAGAAGAGGGAGGAGAGCTCCCCGCCCGGCTCTTGAGAAAGAGGTAAGTATAACCCCTTCCTTCCCCTAGAGCCCGGCGGGAGGGGGCACCCTCAGGGCACTATAGTGGTCCTTTAAATTAGGGAAAAGGTTTAAAAATAATATCAGGAAGTATTACTTTACTGAGAGGGTAGTGAATGCATGGAATAACCTTCTAGCTGAAGTGGTAGAGGTTAACACAGTGAAGGAGTTTAAGCATGCATGGGATAGGCATAAGGCTATCCTAACTATAAGATAAGGCCAGGGACTAATCAAAGTATTTAGAAAATTGGGCAGACTAGATGGGCCGAATGGTTCTTATCTGCCATCACATTCTATGTTTCCTGATGGCGATTGTTGTATAATGTTCTGCAGTAGTTGTGAAAGGCACATGCTATGTCTCTGGGAAATTGAGTAGCATCTCAATAGGTTAATCATGAAATCCGCGTTCAGATGTGATTTTTAGATAAAAGGTGTGTGTGTGTTCAATATAGATCTATATATTACATATGTGTTTTATATTTTGTGCATATATAAATGCCAAAGATATTAAAGAACAAACAAAAAAAAAAATTTATTGGCAGTGGCTACTGTTTTTTATTTTGCATGCTAGAATAATGTACAGAAGTTTATTTTTAACATTGCCATTCCTCTAAGGAAACGAGTCTCTGCACTTTCTTGGGTCAGTGAATGTTAACTTTTGCTATATGCCTCAGCGATTGCCCCCTTTTTTTTTTTTTTAAATCTTGGTTTTTAGACTGTGTGCTCAACGTTGGCAAACATTGATGTCACGCAGCATTGCCTGATCTTCTAAAGCCTTGCTGGAAAATGTATTTTTGGACTTTCAAAGCACTTAATGTTCAATGGGGCTAATATGCCTACCCCAGGCAAGTTCAGATCGTGAGTCATTTTATCAGGAATAAAGCAAAATGCAAGTGTACGTTTTATTATGTGAAGAATAACCCAGCATGTTGTCAAACGAGCTGAGGTCAGTCTGACTTACACCATAGGAAAATGTTAAAATGTGTTGAAGTTAGATTGGGATTAATAACAGTCTGAACGTATTTGCACTGCAGTACTCGAAAGACATTATCTGTAAGGAAACGCAGAACTTTACCTTCAACACAAAGGCAATAAGCAAGTAGGTTGCTCTTATCCATGTCTGGGTTTGAAGATCGAATAGTCCTTTCTGTGGCTGTCCTTTTTCTTGTTAACTCGACTGTGAGTTTATTATTTCAGGGTTGCGGTTTAGTTACAAATGGATAACATTTTGTGATACAATTCAATATATGTTGAACAGAAGTTGACAACAGTCATGAACCAGGGAATAAATATATTTTTTATTTTTTTTTGCTTTTTACCTATACATTGTTTTGATTACCTGTATTTAAAAACAACAACAACAAAAAAACCATACCATAGAGTTGATATCAGTACAAGAAATGTGATAACTAAAATATATTACCCATATGGTCAGCCAATTAACGGAGTTTGTGATTAGCTTGTTAGGATGACTCCTTGATCAAACAAGTATATTACATAAATGTCTCCTCTGCCTCAAATGAGCAATTATTACATTTAGAACTCTAAATCTTAAGGAATTATAGGCACAAAATGTACCCATCTTCGGGCAAAATGAAATGTGGCACTCCTCAATTTATAAAAAGGCACTTGTGTAAATAACATTGCCCCAGTATGACCTACTACAGTGTTTGCCTTCACACCTGCTAGGGCCTTGGTTGGAGACCTTAGTTTCTACAGCTATATCTATCTGGAATAGACAAGGCTCTTGCCATTGTCTTACCAGGTGTTGGTTTAGTAGAAAAAGGTAATTACTCTACAGTTATTCACCAATCCCTTAATGCTGAACATCAATCATTACATTTCATGTGCTTTCATAGGTTAAATGTTTTAATACTTTTTGACTGTTAGAGCACCTGCTTTTTATGAAGTGACCTTCTGGCAAGACTTATTATAATTAGTGTGCCCCAGAAGTAGTCATTAGCAAGAGGTCACGCATATTTTAAAATATTGTTCTGTTTATGGGCAAATCCTAATCAGTTATTACTTAGTATTCCTCCATGATCTGGAAACATATTTGAAAACTGGTATCACCTTATCTACTTTTACTTTTAATCCAGGGTGCTCACATCAGAAGTCTCATTCGTGGTCTTCAGAACTAGTTTAATTTATATTTATTTTTAAAATATTTTACCAGGAAAGATACATGGATTTAAGACTGTCTGAGCATAGATAATGTATTCCAGAACCAGGACTAGTCCGCAATACCATACAGAGGAATTTGTTATTGTCCATGATTAATAGCTGTGTTCTGTGTCTTAATATACACACCAATCCCATATACAGACACACGCAGAGGGGCAGTGAAGCCCATGTGTAATGGAGAGCCATCATGCTGTGATAATGCAGAATTAAAGCACACATTATAATATTCTAGAAGATGTAGGATGAGAACGGTGCATAATGATCATTATTTAGGCTGAATATGATCTTGCCAATATGTGTCCTTTTTCAGAGTAGGAGAACTCCAATCAGTCAATGTCAGCGTAAATGCTTTTACAGTGTGAGGCCCAATTAATCACATTTCTAAAGTTGATGAAGCGTATGTAGGACAGCTGATTATCACTCACGCTATTTATTTAACTTTTTTTTTTTAAGTAGTCCTCGTCCACAGTACTTTACAAAGCTTACTGATGAATCAAATGAGTAAAGAGAGCTGCAGTATTGGTTGCAGTGTGAAGAAATATGATGGTATCAGTTACATATTATGTAACTCCGGAATTAAATCTGTTAAGACCACTCTCATTGTACTGGTCATAGGTGTTGCTAGAGAAATGTGGGGGCTAAAGCTTCAGGTATTGGATTTCTATAGGGAGTGGACAGGGCTGGAGGATCATGGCCGAATTTGCTATAAGCCTACCGAAGCTTCAGTGGAGCAGGCTCCCTCACAAGCTAAGCCCGCTCTCTAGCAAAGCAACCAGGGCCAAACAAATGGGGAATCTACTTCATCAGCCCTTATACTTCTATTGCATTGCTGCAACACTGATGCGTTCCCCAGCGCTGTCTGACAAAAACGTCTGCAATGACAGGCAGTGGTGTATCCTGGTTGTGTGCTGCCCTAGACGGCCTTGAGTACCTTAACAACCGGGTTAGCGATAGATGTGGGGACATCCCTTCAAACTCATCATTAAAAAAAAATTACCAAACCTACACTTTGCACCACGTCGAGGACATGAGGGACTTTGCTAAACACATCAGCATCTCCCTGCTCTACTTGCAAAAAGAAACGGCCAACACCGCACCTCAGAACGCCGGGCAAAACAACGGACACTTGCCTCTGCCACCTCGCCAGCACACTAAGAAATGTCTACCGACTACACCTAAAGGCCCGTCTCAAGCAGCCGCCTGTACTGCTTGGATGAAAGCACGGGACTCCAGTCTCGGCTACACCAACCTTTACCAGGGTTTTGCCCTGCAATGTTGGTCTTAGACCAGTTAGCCAATTGATGTACCTAGTTCAGTTAATTGCACCTGTAACTCTCTAGCACTGGGGGCCCATCATTATTTTCTCTCCAGACCCATACTAACTGCTGGGTCGCTATCCCAGACCATGGGGACCCCGACCCAAGTTGTGTGATAGTACACCTTAGTCCGAGTCACAGGCGCATGTTACTATCTGTAAGAGGGAAAGAATACACCAGGTTTTTGTTCCGCACTACCGGTCTTAGACCACCCACGAAATGTATGTACCAGACCTACCCCAAGCATACAGACCCTGAATCTCGTTACCTACATGCGCTGAAGATCACCCTTACCGAGGTGAAATCGCCTTACTGGCATGACCGCTAAAACAGGCCCTCAATGTTCCTCCCCACAAAAACTGCACTGTAGTACAGTATGCTTAACCTGTTATGCATATAGTGATGTGACTGTATCAGGTAATCACTAGGGATCGACCTAGATAGTCTGTATTTTCAGCAATATCTGAATCGGCCGATACCGATATTGCCGATGATGCAGGCCAGGGCTGCCATCAGGGTCCTGTGGGGCAGCCCTGGCCTGCATCGGGGGAGCTGAAGGGAGCTGCTGGGAAGGTAAGTAAGAGTGTGCTGGGCCCCCTCTGCACAGTCCATGCCATCAGACCACCAGGGAATGGCATATCCCCCCTCCCTGGCCAGGTAAGCAGCAGGGAGGGGGGACTAAAACATCATTTAAAAAAATACATATTTAAAAAAAAAAAAAAAAATGCCCCCCTCCCATTTTACACACTTAACATACCTACACAAACACACACTCTGCATTCATTATATACATGCTACACAAACACTCACACACTCTGAATTCACTATACACACACTGCATTTGTTATACACAAACACTCACGGCACAAACACACTCATACACACACACATTCTTGAAAACATTCTTGAAAACCTAAAAAATTCTTACTCATGTATATTTTGTGCATTTACCTTAATAAAAAAAATTTGCAAAATAAATAATAAACATGTTCAGTTAACAGTAGATTTGTGTAGAAATAGTTAAAAAAAATTTTTTTATGGTAAATGTACAGAATATCGGTAAGTTATCGGCCTGAAAATTCACAGAATATCGGCATCTGCTCTAAATAAATCAATATCGGTCGATTGGACTATAATCAAAACACAAAAGGCGCACAAGGGTATATTACATATAATGCGACAAACCCTGACATCAATTGACTGCCTTGCCTGGAGAGGAACACGACGGGAAAGGTACACCAACCAGCAAGAGGCCGATAAAGGAAAGAATAACGGCCCCCGATACCACAAAAAGCCCACTGTGGGCTCCTGCCCCGTCCCTTACCCACCTCCCCTGCCAAAACACTTCACGGAACACACCGACCCTTCCCCACTGACCCACCCCAATTACTATCATCATTTTCTCTGTTATTCAACTGCTCTAAAATGTTGTTTAATGTTACACAATGCTATATACACCACGGAATATCCAAGGAGCTACATACTCCGCAGACGCTCCATTGACACCATGGGCAAATGTACAAACCCGCAGCACAATGTAAATGACGGGAAAACCTATGTACCAAATGGATATGTATCACACACAGATTAATGTTCTTATACGCTGTGTAATTTGTGTTAGGTTATGAAAAGATACTGTTACTGTTTTATTTTTTTCTCTACCTTGAAAATGCATACAAATAATATAATTAAAAAAAATAAAAATTATATATAATATAATTACATTGCAACATTGTGCAAAACTGGAGAAACTGCAAAACACTGTAGAATGTTTAAACATTGAGAAATTTTCTGTGTGAGGGAAGGGTGTGCTATATTTATTATTTTTTTAATGTTGGGCGCATGCAATCGCCCCTATGGGAAGGGGGTAGTACCCATGCCCTCCAGGTGAATCTGTGTAGAAAAGAGTTAAAAAAAAAAAAACACTTCTTCTATATCTCTATTTTTTTTCTTCTTGTTTGGTGGCTCGCCGTGATACTATACATGTATCATATTTCTGTGTGTCAGAAAAATCAATGCACATAAAGCTTGTTTTCTGTATGTATGTTCTGCTTACAATTACTAATATTCAATCCGTAAGGATTGCTGGGGAACAGCATTGTGTGCTTTGTTTCCACCTATGTTTTCATTGGTTCGTTTAAGATAAGGGGACATAACATAGAAAAGCATGGATATGTCATAACTTATCTCTACCTCTCAGTGAAAGGGTCATCGAGTTTTCCTTTGAGCTCAAACCTATGATGTTTCTGGAACCTAGCAAAGCCCTGGGATAAGTGGATATGGATAACTTCTCTAACCACACGTGTTAAAGGAACACTCCACACACCTTGAGCACATAAAGCTTGCTAGAGTGCTTTACATGGCTGCAGTCTGTCATTTTCTTGAGCGTTTATGAAAGTGCTGATTTCAATAGAAACTGGCACTTTTCATGTTGGTGTCAGAAACCTCTACCTGGCTGTCGGATTGCCAACCAGTTTCTGTTCCTTTATCATTTACGCCACAGAGCTAATGGAAGCGTCGAACACACTGTGCCTTCCTGTCTCTTCTCCCCCCTCAATGAGTATCCCCCAGCACAGTCTGTCTGAAAAAGAGGGAGGGCATGCCTAGGCTGCAGACAGCCGGTGTGCAGCTTTGGGGTTATACCTACTAAATTGTTAAAATATATATTTAATTTTCAGTAAATTATTCCATTAATTGCTCTCCCTTCGTGTCCTCACAAAAGTTTAAATGGTTTTAGCTATACACCAAAACGGCTATACTAAACTAAAGCTTAGAGCACCTCTTTTAAATGCTCAGGGCATGGGATTGAGACAGGTCTGTCAGTCAGATTGCCACCATGACTTCTACTTTTTCTGTGAGAGCCATTAACTTGCCCCCATTATGGCCCAAATACATTCCTGTTTTTATTATACTTCCTAATGTAGGCAGGTATGGTTTTATCTAACCGGGTTATTCAAGAAGGAGAGAATTAAATGTGAAATTTAAATCTAAGGCCGGAGTTGCCAAATTTAAAGATTTTTTTTCGAGTTTGGCTATTTTGACCTGACATTTTAAATTCACTTTGAATTCTCGCTATACTTAAAGGACCACTATAGTGCCAGGAAAACACTCTTTTTCCTGGCACAATAGTGCCCTGAGGGTGCCCCCTCCCGCCGGGCTCTGGGGAGAGTAAGGGGTTAAAATCTTACCTTTCTCCAGCGCCGGGCGGGGAGCTCTCCTCCTTCATAGCGACGTCATCGGCTGAATGCACATGCGCGGCAGGAGCCGCGCGTGCATTCAGCTAGTTCATAGGAAAGCATTTACAATGTTTTCCCATGGACGCTGACGTCTTCTCACTGTGTTTTTCACAGTAAGAAGCACGCAAGCGCCTCTAGCAGCTGTCAATGAAACAGCCACTAGAGGCTGGATTAACCCTATTATAAACGTAGCAGTTTCTCTGAAACTGTTTATTTAAAAAAAAAAAAAAAAAAAGGGGTTAACCCTAGCTGGACCAGGCACCCAGACCACTTCATTAAGCTGAAGTGGTCCTTTACTAACACTGTAAATGGAATTTGAACTGAGCATTCTAAAGGGGAAGAAGAGAAGATGCAGAGGTTTCCAGGACTTTTGGATTTCTCCAGTGGGAAAGATTAGACCATGACCACATTGGGTAAAATTAATGTCGGGTAGATTGGAACTAAACATGGAGTGTGAGCCCTGTGACTCAATGTAACCTAATGTAACCTTGTCTTTCTGTAGATGGTAAAAACTCCATGTATTCACAAACAAACTGCACCCAGTAATGACCAGACACAAGGTCCTCACCATTTTTTTTTTACATTTTTTCCCCCACAGAACAATCGATGCATTCCTGCAGCTCTAGACAACTATTACGCCGAACAAGAGCCAAGTGCCCAAGGAAAGTTTTACACAGTTATAAATCACTACAACCTTGCCAAGCAGACCATCACACGCTCAGTATCCCCGTGGATGACGGTCCTCTCAGAAGAAAAGCTCTCCGAACAAGAGACCGAGGCCTCTCAGAAGTCTGCTTAGCTTGACGAATACATTGTTTGCAAAGCGAGGTGAATGCAACCAGAGGACTTAAACAAAAACAAAACAAACTTCAAAATAACAACAAAATTAAACATTAACTACTTTTCTGCCTCTGACAGTTAAGCGGTTAATCGTAATGTAGAGATTACTTGTATTTATAGTAAGAAAACGCTTGTTTCCTGGTATTGCTGTGCCTACATGACTGTACAGACCATTAATGGATACATCATCTCCTGGCATATCATTTCAGTTAACTTCAGACCATGGAAACCGCTTATATGGGAGTGTGTTTTCCTTTAAATGACACTTGAATTCAATACAGGGGTGTATGACAGTACAGATATATTACACAGGGTAATTTGTATCCCTTATATTCAAAACTGCAACATTAGAAGGGGAACTAAAGTTCTTTTAAGAAAACATTTGAAAATTGGTCCAAATGTTATGTAAAATATGCATATACAAGGGCAAACGTGATCGCTATTGAAAGACATAACAAAATGCATATTTTTATTAAGGGATTTCGAAAACTTTATCAGGAACTACAGAGTACTGACAAAGACATTTAATTTTTCCCACAAAGCTATTTTTGCAGCCGGTTAGTTTTAGTTATATTTTAAATGCCAATGTCAATTCTTCACAACTCATGATTTAGTAAATAAGCCCATATAGCGGTCATAAAATTAAGGGTATACATTCGCAGGTACAAATAATTTTTGGTTAACCCACCCCTGTTTAAGATCTATTACAGTGTTAAATTTAAATAACACAAGAATTCCAAAGGTACACATAAAAGAGAATAATACACTTTTTTTGGATAAGCAGAACAATAAATACAATACTATATTGGTCTCTATAGAATGCCATCATCCATATTTTGTAGAGATACATATAGGCGTTTAAAATAGCCCTGTGTTTGCAAACAAATACATCGCCCTTGTAGATTACGAAATGAACTTTTTCAATTTGATGTTTCTCTAGTAGTGACATAGCAGCATATTTTGTGAGTTTTGACACCTGTGATGAAAATCACTAAACTTTTTTGAAAATGCATCACTGAGTGTTGTTGGTTTCTATAAATTGCATAGATAGTTATTCCAGGTTTTAGATTTCATGACAGGTTAACACAAATAGAAATTAGACTTTTTTTCTTTTTCTTGTAGCAGGGCATATAAAGACAATATGAAAACAAAATGCAGAATCTCTTTCCAATGTTGACACACAGGTAACTGCAGTTTGGCCATACATAAAATAAAAACTGTATAGACAGAAAAGAAACCTTGTGCAGGCAAGGAAGCTGCATGCATTAGGTGAATATATGTGTGTATTATATACATATATAGTCAAACAATTAATAGAATCAATACATCTTAGCTGCTTAAGGGTATTGGGTGCTTTGTCATAGCCGGAGATTAACAAACTGAGTATTCACAGAGCGTCCTGTTACTAAGAACCGCAAAGTGCTATTTTATTCCAAGAAAGCATCTTGGGAAAGGTCCACAAGTAGAATCTCAGCATTTTAATATCATATTTTGTGGTATCCAGTGAAGCTCAATCAATGTATGGCTTTATTTAAATGGTATAGTTACCAGAATTCTAAAACATGCAGTACAGCGGCGACGGCACCCCTAATGTATCTGGACCATTAACAAATCATTGCCTTCACTCTTGTAGTTATAGGTATATTTGCTTTTCGTGGTTCAGAAAGACCTCATTCAACTATTAGCACACAATATGTTTTTTTTTTTATGGAAAACTGCAGTGACATTCTGTCTGTTTTTAACATGTGCTCATTGTGTTCCCATTGTTTATGTAACATTTTTGTACATGCACACATGATGTTCATTTAAATCATCTGCTGCCAGCTGTCTAGAATGCATTGTTTACCAACACACTACTATACAATGCTTGGTAAGAATTGTCAACTGCCAATCATTGCAACTCCTATTACCCTGAAAAAGTTTGATGGCAGGAATATCTACAGCTGTGTAAACTGACTTACTCTGGTATCTGAAAGAGGGCAGCTGGGTTTGAGAAGAAAACATTAGGTTATGTGTCCGCTAACAACCAGACCTAGGTCAAAATCGTACCAATTCGGATAAAATAACTGGGGGGAATTTTTGTCATCTGTTTGGTCTAATTTTGCAAGTTGGGTCACAACAACTCCCTTTTTAGTAAATAACCAATAGGACTCGTTTCCAGGATTGTTTTGGTTTACAGATCTTGTTACTCAAAGGATACCCCAGACACCAATACCGAACAAAGCAATTATTAGAAGCAAACCCTATAACATACTGTGTTTTTGGCACTTTTTTTTTTTTCTTCCCATTTCGAATGGTAAGCATCACAATCTGCTTTTGACATCTCATTATGAATGGAGCTTATTGTGCAGCATAGTCAAACCATGGTTTCCCATTCAAAATAAAATATATATAATGAAATATTTCCGATTTAACACAAACAGGCCGAGCCCTCTATAGGTTAGAGTTAAAGGCATTTTAAATTTAAGAACTGAATGCTCTCCTATTCAGATCCAGCTTTAAGCATGAAGTATGGCTCATTACAGTTTACGGTATTATTCCAGTGCATGCCAGAAGGATATACTACATAGTCACAGATCATATTGACAAATTTCTTTATCAGTATACATCTAGACCTTACTAATGGACCACACAGGCTCCTGTAGTATATGCATCAGTGGGAAAAAGCCCAACATGATTCACCACCCTATGGTAATGAGGGAGGTCATATTTACAGATATTTGATGAAATCTTATGAGGAGGCTGCCTTATATTTAGTTGGACCTGTGTGTATAGAGAATTTGACATTATATAGTAAGACAAAATGAGATTCGCACTCATTACACAATCATAAGGAAAAAGAAAAAAAAAAAACCCTCTAAGAATCTTAGTGAACCAGCTAGGAGGATCAGAAAGGAATACTGCCCCCCCTGCAGCTTGTTCCAAAACTCCCTGTACAGTGTGGGTTTCAGTGGTGGACTGCTAATAACATGCTTAGGGGGAACACTGCTCAATAGATGCTACATTCTAGTCATTCTACTAAAACTATGTTTGAGAAGACATTTGAGACACGTTACATATATGCTTAGCCATATAGCTCTGATTAATCTTTTCGCTCCACGCAAATAATCTATTGAGCAATTACGTATAGCTAATGAATAAAACATTGTGTCCATTGCCCTGTTGTTTTGCACAATAGTGTCTTCACTTCTTCCTATAAATATTTATTACTTAACTTATATTGTTTTGATTCTCGTCTCTTTACAAAAAAAAAAAATATAGTGTGTTTACAGCACTTAGGTGTGAGGTATGCATTATTTCAATCTCTTGTTGTTTGAATGTGTTTTTTTTTTTTTTCTTCAGTGATCATTCAAGTTATTTTTTCTTTATTAAATAAAAAGTGAAAAATGAAAGTTTGGACTTTTTTTTTTTTTTTAATTCTTCTTCTTCTGGAGTTTCAAAGTATATTGTGTGGTGTAAGCATAACCGAAAAAGTCCAGTCCTCTTCATTAGTTGCAATTTTTGTTTATCATTAAATTTGGAAAACTTGACAATGTAAAATTTTGGCTAAAATACAATTTGGGAGAAAAAAAAAATAGATGCAGTTTTGTGAAGAATTCTAAACAGGATACCGCGCCAATGTTATCTCGCTGTCTCCCTCCGTCCTCTACCTATTCCACAAGCCATATGGAACTATACAGCAATTTAGATACACTGTGGCATATGTTTGTCCAGCTAACTTCATTACTTTGATCTAAACACCAGTGACTTATAGTCTCGTTGAGGTCTAATTATTTTCTCATTGCTTTTATATTAACCTATATGTAGTGGGTACTATGTATGTGTATATACATCTCCAAAACTTACCTTTATTGTTCAGTATATATATTTTTCAACTAGTCAATATTTAGTAGACATATTCCATACTATCTCTTGAAGTTGATCAGCATTCTCTATCTTTTATTTTGCCTATCCCATTAGGCAGATTATTCCATCTTTTTATTAACATGATATATTAAAAGTTAGATTTTAGTCTCCTGTTAGTAATAGGAACTATCTTCTCACCCTTTTCACCACATGGAAATATATTTTACAAGTTCCACCTATTAGATTTGTTAAATTGAGGATCCTCTGGTTTCTCTTTGATACAATTCTAAATGTGGGCTTAAAAATTGCACTCTCCACTCAGGAGTAGAAAAGGAATCCCTAAGAAGAAATCAGTGTGGCATGGACCCTCGAGGCTTGTAGTGAAGGGTAACTTTGTGGCTTTGCTAATCGTGTAGGACTAGAGCTCTAGATGGCTCCAATGATGGCAAGTTCTCTTGAAGACTACAAATCACCGGTTGTGTCCTCAAATAGTAACATGGGGTCAACACTGAAATCAAGCAAAGTATTTATTAAGAAATTACAGCTATCACTAGCACAGAAAGCATATGATGACCTATCCTAATTTAATAAAGATAGAGACAATATTACATAGCGATTTTATTTCAAGAACATTGTACAAGTGACTGATTAGACCAGAACTATACAGAATGCAAAACATGGATTTTAAATTGAGAGGAAACCTGATTTGTATTAATGCTTTGATTACACTCATTTTGGGAAGATATTTGTGTTGATTTGAAAAGCAGCGTTCCCAAGTTTTGCTATGTATTGCCTCCACCCCAAAAAGCTAAATACGCATAAAGTTTAAATGTAGTATTTTTACAGGAAGCTTTACATTTGAACCCTTGTGTGAAATTGTCTGAGGTCGTGTAAGAAAAGCATTGGAGTGGCGCTTTGATAATATTACAGCTTCCTACTGGCTGAGACACTAGCTGGGTTCCACAGGACTGTAGTACAAGTGTAGGCAACCTTTGGCAATCAAGATATTGTGGACTACATCTCCCCTGTCCGGAGAGCCAAAGGTGGCCTATCACCTAGTCTAGCAGGGGATAACATGAAAATGTTATGGAGAAATCATTGCAACATTAAAAGTGCATATCCTCGACGCATTCTTCAGATCGGAGCACTGGGCATTCTTAACGTACAGATACTCATTCTGCACTAATTAACTATCATACCAGTCCAGGAAAAGCAATGAAAATGAACACATCACTAAAAAGAAAAGGATCCAGACACGAAAGCCAGCGTTATTTTTGATTGCCTGGAAAAAAAGAAAAGAAAATCACAATCAATTATATCATAGTTACAAGAGATTTTAAGATTAGCACATTACTGGAGCAGAATAATGGTTGACAAAGTATTCTCTTGCTCATTATGCTTTGATAAGGTTAACAGCCAAATTTAAAATTACATAGTTACATAGTAACTATGCAATTTCACATTTGGCATTTTTTGTGCTTTGAATGAGTACAATAGTTTAGGAAAAATAGTTAATTTATCAAAGGGTTCTAAATAGAATGTTTCATTCTAGACACGAGAAAGCAATTAGTCATAACAAGTAGACTTTTCTGATGTCTTGGAGATTAGCAGGAATCTCTCACTTTACCAGCTAAGGATAACATCTGAATCTTTACAGAGTCAGCGGTCATGCAATGAAAAGCAAGGCCTGTTACAGTAATGGAGATGGTTTATCGCAAGGGAGATCTTAACCATACCGCTGCTATTCTGGTAGCTGTGATTGCTTAAGACAGCTGTCAGGCCTCACAATTCACTCATCCATCAAAATCCAGCCACCCCTTTCATATCTTTTTCTATTCTTCAAAGTAAATGTTCTTAAATAGAGAGAGAGAAAAAAAGTAATTCTATGATACTCCTTCTCTCACTTAACTAACCTTCCCCCCAATTTATCTATATGTAAATGATGGGAACCTGTGTTGCTTAGTATAATTCTTCAGCTCATGGGCTATTAATGCTAGGCTTCAGAAAGGAAGTGAATGGATGTGTGTAGTGGCAGGCAGATACTGTAAAAGAAAATGCAAGAAAAAAAAAAAAAAAAAGAAAAAAGACAATCAACTAGACCACCAATTGTTTCAAAGTATGCCAGTGAATAATCGGTAGACTGCATGGATAAAGCGCACTAGGGATGCACAGAAATGAAAATTCTGGGCCGAAACCGAAAATTCAAGATGCCCTCGGCAGAAAACCGAAAACTACTTTTTCCCCAAAGGATTTTAAAATAGTTATTTTTTCTATAAGTTTATTAATATTGGACTTTTATTACACAGTGAGGGAGGGGGTGACTGGTGACAGAGTGAGGGGATGACTGGTGACAGTAATTGAGGGAGGGGGTGAATCCCGGGATCCCAAGTAATGGCTGCGAACTGAACGGCAGCCGCGCTAAGGAGTGGAAGTGAATGGTTACCCTCCCGTGGGATTCCCTGTGACAGGTACCGGCCGGAGGTCCTCCCTGTCCTCCGTTCCCCGCCAAGGCCGCTCCCTGCGGGTAGCCCAGACACTGGGCACAGCCTGCTCACCTGGAAACAGCAAAGGAGCTTCCCCACTCAGGATCTGTGTCATGGGGGCAGTCCGTAGGGGCAGTGCCGGGTTGGGGGGCTGTCACTGAGGCTGTTCTTGGTGGCTGCCTGTGAGCCAGTGCTGGGTTGGGGGGCTGTCAATAGGAATTGTGCATCCCTGGTGTAATTTTCAGCAGATTTGACCCATTTTCGGCAGAAATGGGATAGGTCAATTTTTTGCCAAAAATTTCAGTGCATCTCTACAGTGCACCTATAACCAACAATGTGCAGGCTTGATGTGGAAAGGTTTATGTGAATATAGCATGGCTGTTCCTGAGATGGGACGGGGGAACATTAAGGGTGGTGGAACAATCTATCTATGGGTCATAATTATCCACTGTCTCTTTAAATGCTCCCCCCCACTTTACCAGTGTAGTAAGTCCTAAGATAGAGACCCATGCTTCTTTCTGCAGTGGACATTTAAAATCACATGATGCACTGGATGTACATTACTAGTGTGATAACACAGGACTACTCCACACGTTATTACAAAGTCAACACATGTGGGAAAAAGGCAGTCATAGTATCTGTTGTGCCTCTGGTGCGATTATGGGTTAAACAATTACATTGTGGGTGAGATGGTGACACTTGCTGGGAGAGGGTTATGAGAAGATTGATATGACGACACTAGAATGGTAAGGGGAATGATGATACAGGGAGAGGAGAGATAGTCACACATACAGTATCCGTGTATTACATTATATCAGTAGTACATAAGACAGAAATGTGTAATATCCATGTGAGTACCATAGCAATATTGGCTTAAACCAAACCCATCTATACTCAGACCCATCATAAAAAGGAACAGCACAACCACTGCAGAGAGCTCCTCTGACTTCTTACTGGAGGGTTCCTTGGACGCTCCTCCTCACCTCCACTACAGCTCATTGAGAGACAGAAGATATGTTCCTCAGCTAAGATCAGCAGTACAGAGCTTACCTCATTGGCTTAGAGTGATCCGCTGATGCAGTGCCAGTGCTAGGATTTTTAGCTACACAGGCGAAGATGCATTTTGGCGTCCCCCCGCCCCTCTTAAAATGCATCTTCACTTGTGTGTCTTGTTGTAACCCCCCTCCTTTTGAATTTCCTAACCCTTTTGTGATCTAGTGTATTTTATTCCCCCTCATTCTTAGCCCCAGCCCCTTTCTGGGTCTCATTCTTAGCCCCAGCCCCTTTCTGGGTCTCATTCTTAGCCCCAGCCCCTTTTTGGGTCTCATTCTTAGCCCCAGCCCCTTTCTGGGTCTCATTCTTAGCCCCAGCCCCTTTCTGGGTCTCATTCTTAGCCCCAGCCCCTTTCTGGGTCTCATTCTTAGCCCCAGCCCCTTTCTGGGTCTCATTCTTAGCCTCAGCCCCTTTCTGGGTCTCATTCTTACCCAAGCCCTGTTCTTTGTTTCTTTCTCCACCACAGTCCCTCTGTATGGCTCTTTTTCCCCTCAGTCCGTTTTGTGTTTCCCTCCCCTCCAGATCCCTTTGTATGTCTTTTCTCCCAAGCCACAGGCACACAGGCATTGTTTTTCAGGCACACAGTCAAAGTCATACAAACACAGACATAATGGCAAAGACATAATGGCAAAGACATACCGGCAAAGACATACCGGCAAAGACATACATGCATACAGAGGCATACCATCATACAAACACATACATACATACAGGCATACAGAGACATACATACAAAGACATACAAGCATACAGACACATACATACAGAAATATACATACAGAGACATACAGGCAAACAGACCTACATACATACAGTCATATGCATACAAAGACATACTGTCATACAGAGACACAGACACATATATACATGCATACAGAGACATATATACATTCAGAGACAAACATACATTTAGTTACATACATGAATACAGAGACATACTACATGCATGCATATAGAGACAGACATATACACATACATACTGTAGCGGAATGAACCTTGGACTATTACCC